TGGCATTTCTTCTCTTGGATAAGTGAATGTCACTGTACAGTCGTCTGCATATGCATGTGATTCTGGGATGAGATGAAGAAGGTCGTTGAAGTAGACATGCCATAACAATGGACCCAGGACGCTTCCTTGTGGAACACTTGCCCCAATAGGATGTCTTGCTGATTCCATTCCATTGAGAACTACACTTAGAGATCTACCATGAAGGTAATCACTGAGGAGGCATAGCATAGAGCCTGCAATTCACAGTGCTTGAAGTTTTGCTAAGAGGCCCTGGTGCCACACCCGGTCAAAAGTGCCAGCAATGTCCAGTGCTACCACACAGCTGACTTTGGATTCATCCAGTGACTGGTGCCACTTAGTGGAGAGGTTTAACAACAGATCAGCAGCAGAGTAACCTTTCCTGAAGGCAGTGCTGAAAGATTCGAGTTAGAGGTGCTGCTAGCTGATCTGCACATCTTCTCAACAATCTTGGGCTCAACTTGTCTGGGCCCACAGCCTTTTCTTGGTCAAGCGATTTAAGAAGTAAATGCACCTCCTCCTGCCTTATTGTCACCACTGACAGTTTTGACACAGTTCTTGCAGCTAGCCAAGGAGGGTCCCTTGCTGGATCAGGAACTTGCATTTTGGTAGCAAAGTGTTCAGCAAAGAGGTCCGCCTTCTCTTGACTACTAGTAGAGGTGGTCCCATCCTGTCGATTTAGAGGTGGAATGAGTTCATCAGGCAGATAACCTTGTCTGTCCTTGACCAGGGACCACCAGGTTTTGGAGCCTACCCTACCTGATGCTAGCTTTCTTTTAGTGTCCACCTCCCATTTAGCAATATCCCACCTTTGAACGTCACCCATATGCCTACAGGCTTGCGTGAGCAAGCTCCTGTTATAGGTGGTAGGGTGTCTCTTGTACCTTCGCCATGCTTTGTACTTAGCAGTAGCAGCCTCTCTACAACGAAAGCCAAACCAAGGCTGATCTGTAGGCTTCGTCACCTATTGCCGGTGAGGAATGTGTTCTTGTTGTAGATTAAGGATGTGTCCAGTGAAGGCTTTCACTTGGTTGTCAACATCCCCTTGGACAAGAGCATTTCAATCGGTGGTGGCGAGCTCAGAGCAAATGGCTGGCCAATTACCTCTTTCCCATAGCCAGGTTGTGCGTGTGAACTCCTCACCTCGTTCTGTTGGGATCTTAAGTGTCGTAAAAACAGCCTTGTGGTCAGACGATCCAACGTAGCCGAGGGGTTGACAAGTGACTATGCCTTCTGCCAGATCACTCACTACTGGGTCAAGGGAGGAGCCAGAGATATGAGTAGGGAAATCACAAAGTTTCTCATGTCAAACACTGCAAGAAGGTCATCAAAGTCCCTCTGTATAAGGTGCTGGTTGAGGTCACCAACAATTATAATATGTTGACAGTTGTGTTGTAGCAGAAGGGAGTCAATATTTTCCATTAGGAAGTTGATGGGGGTCTGCATGTTGCCACTGAGGTCTGTACATTGCACATGCTAGTACAGAGGTACTAGTGTTTATACAGAGCTTGAAGAGCATCATTTCAAGATGAGTAGGGGTGGCAACATCAATGTGCTGGGCATGAACACTTTTAGAGAAGCACACAGCAACACCTTCTCCTCGCCCTTGCCTGTCTCTTCTCATCCATGAGGTGTAGCCAGCAATTCTTTCAAAATTTTCTGGAGTCCTGCCATCCAAAAATGTTTCAACAACAGCTATCATGTCAGGACGTCGAGTGTTCACAAAACTGTGTGTGAGCTCTCCAACATTAGTAATGAAATCTCTAATGTTGGCCGACAGGATGCTGATAGACTGACTGACCTGACTGACTGACTGACCTGACTGACTGACTGACCTGACTGACTGACTGACTTGACTGACCGTGACTGACCTGACTGACTGACTGACCTGACTGACTGACTGACTGACCTGACTGACTGACCTGACTGACTGACCTGACTGACTGACCTGACTGACTGACTGACCCGACTGACTGACTGACCCGACTGACTGACTGACCTGACTGACTGACTGACCTGACTGACTGACTGACCTGACTGACTGACTGACCTGACTGACTGACTGACCTGACTGACTGACTGACTGACCTGACTGACTGACTGACTGACCTGACTGACTGACTGACCTGACTGACTGACCTGACTGACTGACTGACCTGACTGACCTGACTGACCTGACTGACCTGACTGACCTGACTGACTGACCTGACTGACTGACCTGACTGACTGACCTGACTGACCTGACTGACTGACTGACCTGACTGACCTGACTGACCTGACTGACTGACCTGACTGACTGACGGGAACTGACTGACTGACCTGACTGACTGACCTGACTGACCTGACTGACTGACTGACCTGACTGACTGACCTGACTGACTGACCTGACTGACTGACCTGACTGACTGACCTGACTGACTGACCGACCGACCGACCGACCGACCGACCGACCGACCGACCGACCGACCGACCGACACTCTCACTCTCTCTCTCTCTCTCTCTCTCTCTCTCTCTCTCTCTCTCTCTCTCTCTCTCTCTCTCTCTCTCTCTCTCTCTCTCTCTCTCTCTCTCTCTCTCTCACACACAGAGTGAGAGGGTTTGACAAGGTTAGGTTAAGGATCTCTAGCTGTATTGGCAAGCTATTTACAGGTTAAGGATTCCTAACTTTATTGGCAAGCTAAGAGCTGTTACCTACATCAGCTCATTTGAAAGCATTTTTATTGTTATGAGACATACAAGTAGGAAACAGGATGAAGTTGGAGCCATCTGTTGGCCAGCATTTTGATCAACTGACATTATCTCATTGACATCATTATGCTGTACGAATGTGTTCCATACTCGAGTCATCCTGGGTATATACGATCTCAGGTGGAGTGATGTTCTGGAGAAGGGTACAGCCAGAGTGAAGTTGCTGCTTTCTGCCCGTCTTGTGGCATAAAAGCTTGTTTCACGCTGTCCTCAAAATGGATCCAAGTGTGGTACTTAACAATATTGACCTTGTACAAAACAGTAAGGCCACCCACATCCCTCCTGTGTTGAAGGCTCTGCTGAAATGACAGATCTATCCAGGATGGGTCCAGGCAAGAGATGAGACGTCATGCTCTGATCTCTACTCTGTCATGCAGTCGCAGATGAGAGGGGGGGGGGGCAGGAAAACCAAGAAAGTGGAGCATACTCAAGGTGTGAGCGTACTTGTGCCTCGTACAGAATCTTGCAAGCCCTACTGTAAAGCAGATGCGAGATACGGCGAAGTGCTTCCTGGCTGCCTTGTTTGCAAGATTTACAACATGGTTCTTCGTGGTCAGTTTGGAGTCAGATTTCACCCCAAGGATATCAACTTCTTCTCCAGGTGCCAACACCCTCCCATTCATCCTTACTACTGCACCAGCATTACCATCATCATTTGCATTTTCTCAGGTGCAAATGTTACTTGCCATCTATTTCCCCAAGCTGATATAGCTCTTAGCTGGTGATTGATGTAGCTTAGAGCAGCTGGCATTTCTTCTCTTGGATAAGTGAATGTCAGTGTACAGTCGTCTGCATATGCATGGGATTCTGGGATGAGATGAAGAAGGTCGTTGAAGTAGACATTCCATAACAATGGTCCCAGGACACTTCCTTGTGGAACACTTGCCCCAATAGGATGTCTTGCTGATTCCGTTCCATTGAGAACTACCCTTAGAGATCTTCAACAACAGCTATCATGTCGGGACGTCGAGTGTTCACAAAACTGTGTGTGAGCTCTCCAACATTAGTAATGAAACCTCTAATGTTGGCCGACAGGATGCTGATAGACGGGCTCCTCATGATTTGGTCAGCTATCTATCTCTCTCTCTATCTCTATCTATCTCTCTCTATCTCTCTCTCTATCTGTGTGTGTGTGTGTGTGTGTGTGTGTTTTCTCCAGGTGCATAAACATTTAGTATAACCCACTTTTTTGCATCGAACCCTTATTTTAATCCTCCTAATCCTTGAATTTATAATTTATGCTCCTCTTTTTCCTGCCATAACTGATCCTTCAACATTATTGGTTGGTTGACAGCAACCGCTCAGGGAGGTGCTACTGTCCTGCCGAATTAGTATGGTAGGATTGCTTGTGTCTTCTTTCTGTCTCATAAACACACAAGATAACAGGTACATATTTCTACTTCTACTTACACTTAGATCACAGTACATATGCATGTACATGCAACCATCTGAGCTTTCTTCTATTTTCTTAATAGTTTTTGTTCTTATTTATTTCTTCTTATCTCCATGAGGAAGTGGAAAAGAATCCTTCCTCCGTAAGGCATGCGTGTCGTAAAAGGTGACTAAAATGCCAGGAGCAAGGGGCTAGTAACTCCTTCTCCTGTATGAATTAATAAAAAAAAAGAAAATATATAAATGTATAGAAAATATATATATATTAGAATTCAGTGGCATGGTATTTATTGGGACTCTCCTTTGTTTTGACAGCGGGCTAGTTTGATGGCCACGCAAGGTGATCTTTGGTCCCATAACCTGTTATGTCTCCTCACGACACTAGTTAATTGTAGCACGCCAGAAAGCCAGTGGGGGATTCTCTTGTAAGTGCTTTTAGCAAATTCTAATGTAGGTTGGTTTGTCTAAAGGTATAAGATGGTATTTAACAAGAGGTCCCTGGTTGGCTGCCATGCATGAGGCTGGGTGCGTACGTAACAGTCGTAGAGACATTTTCAGAGACTTTAATTGAAGCGTGTTGCCCACACTTGTCATGGATGTCTGACTGACGTGGGAAGTACGCCAGGTACTGAATCCTACCCAGTCATTCCACCTAACTTTATTATGTGACAATCTGGTATGCAAATCAGTATACAAAGTGGGAAGATGTTTTATGACCAATGGCCTTAACTTTGCTTGAAGATCTCAACTTGGCATCTTGTATTCACTTAAAATATAAGGCAGGTTGTTATTCATGTCAATGGCAAGTGTGTTGCAACCTTTCAATTAATATGTGGTGGCAGGCGTCAAGATCAAGAGAAAGAAGGTGCCAGGAGCCAAGAATCTTAAGATCCGGAAGTACGTGCAGCCCAAGAATGCAGTAATGTGCCTCAACGAGCTTCGACCTGGAGTGACATACACTACTGAGCAGGAGGGAGGAGTTACTCAACCATTCTGTATATCTGTTGAGGTATCTAATGGGGTATGGCAAGTAATGGCCAAATATCAAAGATATGATGGGCTATTTCACTTATTATATTTAGCATTAAGTAGGCCAAGGAAAATATGTTTTTGATGTATTGTGTATGTTGAGTGAAAGTGCTGTACTGAACAAACAATAGTATTAACATTGATGGAAACAGGATTTTTCAGAGCTTAGTGAATGTAGATAATTATATAACAAGAATTTCATTCTTGGAAGCAAGGAGTCTTGAGACCTTTTAGAAAGTGAGGGAACTGATTGAAAGTGGGAAAAACAGCAGAGGTAAATGATATTTAGTGAGATTGAAAACAGGTTGGGAAGGAGAATTGTAATAATGCTTTTGTTCAGTGTGCATATAAGAGAAAGGAAAATGCATAAAGAGTGTATTGCACTGTTTAGGGGAATGAGAGAATTGGGGAAATAAGTCTCCTGAGTATACAGTGGTACCCCGAGTTTTGACCATAATTTGTTCCAGAAGGCTGTTCGAGTGCCGTTGCCAAACGAATTTCTTCCCATTAGGAATGATGTAAATTTGATTAGTCCGTTTCAAACCCCCAAAAATACACCTACAAAATCATTTACAATAATACACTTACATAATTGTTCGAGTTGGGAGCTGTACGAAACTCGGGGTACCACTGTACCTGACTAATTAAGCATATGGCAAATTATGATCGGTAATGACTGGAGAAGGCAGCGGAGTCAGAGGGAAAACGTATGAGTTGAGTGTTTGCAGTGATGCATAACTGCTATTGCTCTGTGATTAGAGAAAGTAACTACACTACTTGCTGCATGCTTGCATTTGAAAAAGATGTTTGCCAGAGTTGATGGAAACATCATGTAGCAGGTGTTGAAATATGTATGGAATAGGTAGTGGTACTTGACAAATCAAAGAGCTGTGTTGATTGTTTTAGTTTTCAGCTCACCTTCTTGTCTGGGTTGGAAAAGACCAGTGGCCTATACAGAACTTTATGTATATAGTACAGTGAACTATATGCTGGTACACACTAAATTAGTTTATTAGAAATTATATCATTCATTCTACAGTGGTACCCCGAGTTTCGGCCGTAATTCCTTCCAGAAGGCTGTTTGAGTGCCGTTGCCGAATGAATTTGTTCCCATAAGGAATAATGTAAATTAGATTAGTTTGTTTCAGACCCCCAAAAATACACTTACAAAAGCACTTACAAATACACTTACATAATTGTTCGAGTTGGGAGCTGTACGAAACTCTGGGTACCACTGTATTTGCATATGTATGAAGACATGGCAGGTAATTAGTTCTGTTTGTTTAAATTTAATAAGTTAGCCAGAAACACTTATTTTCCTTGGCCTAGCATTACTGACATAAATTAGAAATACAAATTGCATTAATATATATGTGTGTGTGTGCTGCTTTACACATTAAAGTGCATGTGTTCATGTGTACACACATTTTGTGTGTGTATATATATTACAGTACATAGGTAATACTACTAATGATGGTAATAAATACTAAAATGAGAGTATGGCTTGTATTGGTTTTCAGGTTGATAGTCAAAAATACCGAGGTTTTGGGTCGTCCAAACAGCTGGCAAGGCAAGCAGCAGCAGAAGCTGCACTTATAAGCTTTGTTAAACCTCCAGTCACTTCTAACTCTTCTGAAAGTCAAGAGGAAGATAAAACACCATGGGCAACTCTTGCATCATTTGCTATTTATAAATTGTTTAATGATTGGCGCGAGGGTAGGGTTGGCACGTGCCCTCCACCTGCCCAACCTTTTGGCACTGCAGTTCCCCCTGGTAAGTACTAGCTAATAACTATTTTATTTACAGAATTATGTAACAAATTCAGGTACTATTGGGAACCAAGTATGTACAGTTTTGGCAAAAACTTTACATAATTAATGCAAAAAAACTTTAAATTTAGGAAATATTGAGTATACAAGGATGAGTTGGGTCAACAAGGTGACAGATGGTTATAAATATACGTCATGCATAGCAAGCCTTAATTTTACTCAGCAGTGACCTCAGGAATGAGTTCACTTTCAAGAAATGGTGTCTAATATAATGAAAATTAATGTAAAGAGATCCAAATCATTAGCCTGTCTAACAGATTATTGTACTACAAACAGGTATTGTACCAGATTAGTGGAAAGGGGCAAATGTTATACCATTTACAGAGTGGAAGATAGAATCTTAGCCTTAAATTATAGACTAATCAGCCTAAGCTCAGGTTTGGAAAAATTGATGGAATCAGTAATTACAGATTCAATTCGAAGCCAGTGCCACCTTGAGATATAATTTGATCAATAAATTTAAACATGGTTTTAAAAAGAAGCAATCTTGCCAAAGATTTACAAACTTTTTTTTGCTGGTATTTGAAGTGGTCTACCTATTGTGTACATGGCCTGTGTTTTGAGTCATCTCATTTTGTCTGCCTTGTCATTACTGCATAGATATTAAGGGGTTTCAGTCTTCATTTGGTTGGATATTTGTAAATCCATTTTTTTATTGAAACACTTCGTGGGATTGTGATGTATGCAGAAAAAAGTAGTTAATTAAACTGACATAAATGTGTATATTGTCTCCACTTTAATTGAACTTGGGTTTTCAGGGTTGCTGGTTATTACAATAACCTTTATTTTTCTCCCATGCTGTCTTGATTTTTTACTGTTTTTCACACTAGAACATAAGGACATTTTGAATTCCACTTTTATTTACCTCAGTAAGCATATGCTTAGTAAAAGCTTATTAACATTTACCCTTGGGGAAAAGATTAGTAAGATTTGGGCAAATGTTCCATATTTGTAGGAATTAGGTGCTTCTCACATTGCAGGGTTTCAAGCATTCTTAAACCAGTCTATGGGAACCAATGCTGCAAAAGATGGATCTGCACAGGCTGCAGCATTTACTGAAGCTATATGTGCTCATCTAGGAGGCCGCACTCCCCATGCTCCAGTCACTGATATCAAGGTAACTTCTCACTGCTCTTCTCATATTTAAATATTAGTGTTCTTTGAAGATAATGTAGAATATAACTTAGGTGTATCTGTGTCTATCATTAGAAATGATATTAGAAGTAAATAAATGAATGTTATAGGAATTCAGCTAGAAACCTGAGTAGATCTATAACCCACTATGATAACATGAGTGTAGGTAAATATGGAGCAACTTGCAATGCAACTTGACTGACTGATGTTGTAGTGGCCAGGCTTAGGCTTGTTTACAAGTACTTCTCGAAGTTTGGAAGACATACAGATGATGATCAAACCAAATGCAAAGTATGTGGCCAGCCCTGTGGTCTATCTTGAATGCAGTGTGCTTAACTGTCCACTTACTGAGGAATATAGAGATAGTATAATAACCTGTGTGACATGTCACGATATTGTATTAATGAAAATTAGACATCAGGTTTATTTTATTTTATTAACACATCATATGTCCTCTACCAGGGCAGGGTGACCCAAAAAAGAAAAAACATTTTCATCATCATTCACTCCATCACTGTCTTGCCAATGACATGCCTAAACTGCTATTAAAAAACTGCAGCATATCAACACCCCTCCTTTAGAGTACAGGCACTGTATTTTCCACCTCCAGGACTCAAGTCCAGTTAACTGTTTTCCCTGAATCCCTTCATCAATGTTACTTTGCTCACCCTCCAGCAGCACACCAAGTCTTAAAAACAATTCGTCTCCACTCGCTCATATCTAACACTGACGCATGTTTGCAGGAATTCTCAGCCCTTCACACACAAGACCTCCTTTACCCCCTCCCTTCAGCCTTTCCTAGGGTGACCCCTACTGCACCTACCTTCCACTACAGATTTATATGCCCTCCAGTTCATTCTGTTTTGTTCCATCCTCTAAATGTCCAAACCACATCAACAACCCTTCCTCTGCCCTCTGAATAATACTCTTAGAAACCCCGCACCTCTTTCTAATCTCCAAGTTACGGATTCTCTGCATTATATTCACACTGCACATTGCCCTCAAACTTGGTTTCTCCACTGCCTCCAGCCTTCTCCTTGTTACAACATTCACCACCCATGCTTCACACCCTGACTACTTACCAATTTAGGACTTGACAGCAACCACCCAGGGAGGTACTACCATCCTGCCAAGTGAGTGTAAAACGAAAGCCTGTGATTGTTTTACATGATGGTAGGATTGCTGATGTCTTTTGTCTGTCTCATAAATATGCAAGATTACAGGTATGTCTTGCTACTTCTACTTACACTTAGGTCACACTACACATACATGTACACAGTTATTTATACACACTCATCTGAGTTTTCTTTGATTTTATCTTAATAGTTCTTGGTCTTATTACTTTTCCTTTTATATCCATGGGGAAGTGGAATAAGAATCTTTCCTCCGTAAGCCATGCGTGTTGTAAAAGTCAACTAAAATGCCGGGAACAATGGGCTAGTAACCCCTTTTCCTGTAAAGATTACTAAAAAGAATAAGAAGAAGAAAATTGTCAAAGTGGGAAGTCTGAATGTGCGTGGATGTTGTGCAGATGATAAGAAAGAGATGATTGTGGATGTTATGAATGAGAAGAAGCTGGATGTCCTGGCTTTAAGTGAAACAAAGCTGAAGGGGGTGGGAGAGTTTCAGTGGATAGGAATAAATGGGAATAGGTCAGGGGTTTCAAATAGAGTTAGAGCTAAAGAAGGAGTAGCAATAATGTTGAAGGATAAGCTATGGCAGGAAAAGAGGGACTATAAATGTATTAATTCAAGGATTATGTGGAGTAAAATAAAGATTGGATGTGAAAAGTGGGTTATAATAAGCGTGTATGCACCTGGAGAAGAGAGAAGTGTAGAGGAGAGGGAGAGATTTTGGGAAATGCTGAGTGAATGCATGGGGAGTTTTATATCAAGTGTGAGAGTAATGGTGGTTGGGGATTTCAATGCTAAAGTGGGTAAAAATGTTATGGAGGGAGTAGTAGGTAAATTTGGAGTGCCAGGGGTAAATGTAAATGGGGAGCCTTTAATTGAGCTATGTGTAGAAAGAGATTTGGTAATAAGTAATACATATGTTATGAAAAAGAGGATAAATAAATATACAAGGTATGATGTAGCACGTAATGAAAGTAGTTTATTAGATTATGTATTGGTGGATAAAAGGTTGATGGGTAGGCTCCAGGATGTACATGTTTATAGAGGGGCAACTGACATATCGGATCATTATTTAGTTGTAGCTACAGTTAGAGTAAGAGGTAGATGGGAAAAGAGGAAGGTGGCAACAACAAGTAAGAGGGAGGTGAAGGTGTATAAACTAAGGGAGGAGGAAGTTCGGGTGAGATATAAGCGACTATTGGCAGAAAGGTGGGCTAGTGCAAAGATGAGTAGTGGGGGGATTGAAGAGGGTTGGAATAGTTTTAAAAATGCAGTATTAGAATGTGGGGCAGAAGTTTGTGGTTATAGGAGGGTGGGAGCAGGAGGAAAGAGGAGTGATTGGTGGAATGATGAAGTAAAGGGTGTGATAAAAGAGAAAAAGGTAGCTTATGAGAGGTTTTTAAAAAGCACAAGTGTTATAAGAAGAGCAGAGTATATGGAGAGTAAAAGAAAGATAAAGAGAGTGGTGAGAGTGCAAAAGGAGAGCAGATGATAGAGTGGGAGAGGCACTGTCAAGAAATTTTAATGAAAATAAGAAAAAATTTTGGAGTGAGTTAAACAAGTTAAGAAAGTATATAAATAACAAAAAGGCACAATACCATGACTGGAACGATACACAAATAACCCGCACATAAAAGAGAGAAGCTTACGACGACGTTTCGGTCCGACTTGGACCATTGACAAAGTCACACTAACAGAGGTGGAGCAGGACGGCTATATATAGGCAGGAAGAGGTGGAGGAAGTAGTAGTAGTAGTACAAGAATTGTGTATAATACCGACAAGATGAAATTAAGACACATGCACAACACCCGGGCATCCCCATCGTAGACGTTTCGCCATCCAGCCAGCCACTGGATGGCGAAACGTCCACAACAAAGACAACCAGACGCCGCACATGTGTCTTAATTTCATCTGTAGTTGTAGTAGTAGTAGAAGAAGAAGAGGTAGTAGTAGTGGTAGAAGTGGGAAATATGGATGACGAGCCAGTCAAAAACAAAGGAAGGGGAGCACTGCAAGAGAGCTAGATGCCCACAGAGGGAGAGCAAGCGCACAGAGGTGCGTGAAAGGGGAAGTGGATTTGTCAGTTAAAAACAGAGTAGGGGAGTTAGTAGATGGGGAGATGGAGGTATTAGGTAGATGGCGAGAATATTTTGAGGAACTTTTAAATGCTAAGGAAGAAACGGAGGCAGTAATTTCATGCACTGGTCAGGGAGGTATACCATCTTTTAGGAGTGAAGAAGAGCAGAATGTAAGTGTGGGGGAGGTACGTGAGGCATTACGTAAAATGAAAGGGGGTAAATCAGCTGGAACTGATGGGATCATGACAGAAATGTTAAAAGCAGGGGGGGATATAGTGTTGGAGTGGTTGGTACTTTTGTTTAATAAATGTATGAAAGGGAAAGGTACCTAGGGATTGGCGGAGAGCATGTATAGTCCCTTTATATAAAGGGAAAGGGGACAAAAGAGACTGTAAAAATTATAGAGGAATAAGCTTACTGAGTATACCAGGAAAAGTGTACGGTAGGGTTATAATTGAAAGAATTAGAGGTAAGACAGAATGTAGGATGCGGATGAGCAAGGAGGTTTCAGAGTGGGTAGGGGATGTGTAGATCAAGTGTTTACATTGAAGCATATATGTGAACAGTATTTAGATAAAGGTAGGGAAGTTTTTATTGGATTTATGGATTTAGAAAAGGCATATGATAGAGTGGGTAGAGGAGCAATGTGGCAGATGTTGCAAGTATATGGAATAGGTGGTAAGTTATTAAATGCTGTAAAGAGTTTTTATGAGGATAGTGAGGCTCAGGTTAGGGTGTGTAGAAGAGAGGGAGACTACTTCCCGGTAAAAGTAGGTCTTAGACAGGGATGTGTAATGTCACCATGGTTGTTTAATATACAGTGGTCCCTCGCTTTTCGTAGTTCTCGGCAATCGTAAATTTCGCCAATCATGGGGGTATTTTCGTATAAACATGGACTCGCTTTTCATAGGTTGACTCGCGAGTAGTAGTTCGTCCAGGACGCTTACGCACGGTGTGAGCCGGGGAGGCCTCCCTACCCAGCCAGTCTGGCATTGTTTACCAGTGAGTGAAGGTCCCCTCAAGTGCTCCTACGAAATATTTCATAATATTCCACTCATTTTAGTGCTTGCAAGTACTAAATAAGCTACCATGGCTCCAAAGAAAGCGCCTAGTGCCAAGCCTGTGGTAAAGAAGGCGAGAAATATGTACAGTGACAAAGTCTTGTACCATTTTAGGGAAGTGTTAAAGAGACGCCAGAAACAGAGCTCTCTCCACAGTTACTTTGCGAGACAGGACTAGAGTGACTCTCAAGGTGGTCCTAGTGGCATTAAGAAACAGAGAAGAGAAGCAACCCCAGAGAAGCAATTGGTACCTGAGGTGTTGCTGGAAGGGGATTCCCCTTCCAAACTGTAAACAATCCAATCTCTCTCCTCCTCCAGTCTCCCATACACTAAGAAGAATCTCCAATAAAGGTAAGTGTTATGCTGTTAATGTTTCATTCATCATTTCCCATTGTATTGTTTATGTACTACATGTATATTTCATGTAAAAAATTTTTTGTTTTAATACTTCTGAGTGTCAGAAACGGATTAATTGTATTTACATTATTTCTTATGGGGAAAATTGATTCGCAAATTGTAAATTTCGTTTATAGTAGCTCCTCCAGGAACGGATTAATTACGAAAAACGAGGGACCACTGTATTTATAGATGGGGTTGTAAAAGAAGTAAATGCTAGGGTGTTCGGGAGAGGGGTGGGATTAAATTATGGGGAATCAAATACAAAATGGGAATTGACACAGCTACTTTTTGCTGATGATACTGTGCTTATG